ACCTAACCAACCCTAACCCAACCCCAACCAAACCCCTTCCAACCTAACCTAATCTAACCCAACCCAACCAAACCCCAACCAAACCCCAACCAAACCCCAACCAAACCTAACCCAAACCCCAACCAAACCTAACCTAACCCCAACCTAACCCCAACCAAACCTAACCTAACCAAACCCTTACCTAACCTAACCCTAACCCAACCCTAACCAAACTCTAACCTAACCCTAACCTACCCTAACCAAACCTAACCCAACCCCAACCTAATCTAACCCAACCCTAACCAAACTCTAACTCAACCCAACCAAACTCTAACCTAACCCCAACCCAACCCCAACCAAACTCTAACCTAACCAAACCTAATCCAACCCAACCCCCAACCAAACTCTAACCCAACCCCAACCCAACCCTAACCAAACCTAACCTAACCTAACCTAACTAACCAAACCCCAACCAAACCTAACCCCAACCCCAACCAAACTCTAACCAACCCCAACCAAACCTAACCCAACCCCTAACCCAACCCCAACCAAACCTAATCCAACCAAACCTAATCCAACCAAACCTTAACCTAACCCTAACCCAACCCTAACCAAACTCTAACCCAACCCTAACCCAACCCTAACCAAACCTAACCCAACCTAACCTAATCTAACCTAACCCCAACCAAACCCCAACCCAACCCTAACCAAACCAACCTAACCCTAACTCTAACCCCTAACCAAACCTAACCAAACCCAAACCTAACCTAACCCAACCCTAACCAAACCCCAACCAAACCCCAACCAACCCCTAACCAAACCTAACCTGACCTAACCCTAACCTAATCTAACCTAACCCTAACCAAACCCCAACCTAACCCTTATCCAAAGTCTAACCTAACCCAAACCAAACCTCTAACCCAACCCCAACCAAACCTAACCTAACCCCAACCAAACTCTAACCTAATCCCCAACCAAACCCCAACCTAACCCTAACCAAACTCTAACCTAACCCTAACCTAATCCCTAACCTCAGCTAATGACATATGATACAATAATAATGAGACAGGGACTAGGTCTGTTTAAGAGTACCTGGGGAGAGAGAGAGAGAGAGAGAGAGAGAGAGAGAGAGAGAGAGAGAGAGAGAGAGAGAGAGAGAGAGAGATCTCTCCCAAGTCCTTATAAGGACAAGATCCTTGGGGACAAGGAGGAGGAGGGGAGGAAGAAGAGGGAGGAGGAGGGGAGGAGGGGAGGAAGGAGAAGGGAGGAAGAGGAGGAGGAGGGGAGGAAGGAGAAGGGGGGAAGAAGAGGAGGAGGGAGGAAGGAGAAGGGGAGAAGAAGAGGGGAAAGAGGGAGAAGGAGAAGGGGAGGAAGAGGAGGAGGAGGAGGGAAGAGGAGGAGGGGAGGAAGGAGAAGGGGAGGGAAGAGGAGAGGGGAGGAAGGAGAAGGGGAGGAAGAAGAGGAGGAGGAGGGGAGGAAGGAGAAGGGAGGAAGAAGAGAGGAGGGGAGGAAGAAGAGGAGGAGGGAGGGGAAGGAGAAGGAGGAAGAGGAGGAGGAGGGGAGGAAGAAGAGGAGGAAGAAGAAGGGAGGAGGAGGGAGGGGAAGAAGAGGAGGAGGAGGGGAGGAAGGAGAAGGGAGGAAGAAGAGAGGAGGAGGAGGGGAGGAAGGAGAAGGGGAGGAAGAAGAGGAGGGGAGGGAAGAAGAGGAGGAGGAGGGAGGAAGGAGAAGGGAGGAAGAAGAGGAGGGGAGGAAGAAGAGGGAGGAGGAGGGGAGGAAGGAGAAGGGGAGGGAGGAGGAGGAGGGGAGGGAAGAAGAGGAGGAAGAAGAAGGGGAGGAAGAGGGGAGGAAGGGAGAAGGGGAGGAAGAAGAGGAGGGAGAAGAAGAGAGGAGGAGGGGAGAAGAAGAGGAGGAGGAGGGGAGAGGAGGAAGAAGAAGGGGAGGAGGGGAGAAGAAGAAGGGGAGGAAGAGGAGGAGGAGGAGGGGAGGAAGAAGGGAGGAGAGGGAGGAAGGAGAAGGGGAGAAGGAGGAGGGGAGGAAGAAGAAGGAGAAGAGGAGGAGGAGGAGGGGAGGAAGAAGAGGAGGAGGAGGGGAGGAAGGAGAAGGGGAGGAAGAAGAGGAGGAGGGGGAGGAAGAAGAGGAGGGAGGAGGGGAGGAAGAAGAGGAGGAGGAGGGGAGGAGGAGGAAGAAGAAGGGGAGGAAGAGGAGGGAGGAGGAGGGAGGAAGAAGAGGAGGAGGAGGGGAGGAAGGAGAAGGGGAGAGGAAGAAGAGGAGGGGAGGAAGAAGAGGAGAGGAGGGAGGAAGAAGAGGAGGGGAGGAAGAAGAGGAGGAGAGGGGAGGAAGGAGAAGGGAGGAAGAGGAGGAGGAGGAGGGGAGGAAGAAGAGGAGGAGGAGGAGGAAGAAGGAGGGAAGAGGAGGAGGAGGAGGAGGAAGAAGAGGAGGAGGAGGAGGGGAGGAAGGAGAAGGGGAGGAAGAAGAGGAGAGGAGGGAGGAAGAAGAAGGGAGGAAGAGGAGGAGGAGGAGGGAGAAGGAGAAGGGGAGGAAGAAGAGGGAGGAGGGGAGGGAAGAGGAGGAGGAGGGGAGGAAGAAGAGGAGGGGGAGGAAGAGAGGAGGAGGAGGGGAGGAAGAAGAGGAGGAGGAGGGGAGGAAGAAGAAGGGGAGGAAGAGGAGGGGGGAGGAAGAAGAGGAGGAGGAGGGGAGGAAGAAGAAGGGGAGGAAGAGGAGGAGGAGGAGGGGAGGAAGAAGAGGGAGGAGGGAGGGGAGGAAGAAGAGGTGGAGGAGGGGGAGGAAGAAGAGGAGGAGGAGGGGAGGAAGAAGAAGGGAGGAAGAAGAGGAGGAGGGGAGGAAGAAGAGGAGGAGGAGGGGAGGAAGAAGAAGGGAGGAAGAGGAGGAGGAGGAGGGAGGAAGAAGAGGAGGAGGAGGGGAGGAAGGAGAAGGGAGGAAGAAGAGGAGGGGAGGAAGAAGAGAGAGGAGGGGAGGAAGAAGAGGAGGAGGAGGGGAGGAAGAAGAGGAGGAGGAGGAGGAGGAGGAGGAGGGGAGGAAGAAGAGGAGGGAGGGGAGGGAAGAAGAAGGGGAGGAAGAGGAGGAGGGAGGGAGGAGGAGGAGGGGAGGAAGAAGAGAGGTGGAGGGGAGGAAGAAGAAGGGAGGAAGAGGAGGAGGAGGGGAGGAAGAAGAGGGAGGAGGGGAGGAGGGGAGGAAGAAGAGGAGGAGGGGAGAAGAAGAGGGGAGGAGGAGGGGAGGAAGGAGAAGGGAGGAAGAAGAGGAGGAGGAGGGGAGGAAGAGGAGGAGGATGGTGTGTCTCTTCCTTATCTGGGTGGATTACTGTGTGTAAGCAAGGATGGGGAGAGTGAGGGTTTGTGGGTGGGTGGATGGGGTGGGTGGGTGGATGGGGTGTGGGGTGGGTGGATGGGGTGGGTGGGTGGATGGGGTGTGGTGGGTGGATGGGTGTGGTGGGTGGGTGGGGTGTGGGTGGGTGGATGGGTGGGTGGGGTGGATTGGGTGTGGGTGGGTGGATGGGGTGTGGGTGGATGGGGTGTGGGTGGTGGATGGGGTGTGGGTGTGTGGGTGGGGTGTGGGTGGGTGGATGGATAGATATTGTTAACCGTTTCACTATGTTAACTTATTGTACTCAAGGGTTAGGTTAATTTATTCACGTGTGCTAATTCATTTTACCTGTATTCACACCTGTAGTTATAATGACACACCTGTACCTATAATGACACACCTGTACCTATAATGACACATCTGTACCTATAATGACACACTTGTACCATTATACACCTGTACCTGTAATAACACACCTGTACCATTATACACCTGTACCTGTAATAACACCTGTACCATTATACACCTGTACCTGTAATAACACACCTGTACCTATAATAACACACCTGTACCATTATACACCTGTACCTATAATGACACCTGTACTATTATACACCTGTACTCTATAATGACACACCTGTACCATTATACACCTGTACCTATAATGACACACCTGTACCATTATACACCTGTACCTATAATGACACACCTGTACCATTATACACCTGTACCTATAATAACACACCTGTACCATTATACACCTGTACCTATAATGACACACCTGTACCATTGTACACTTTGTACTATAACACACCTGTACCTGTAATGCATTATATCTAAACAATTAACCTAACCCAACTCAACCTAACCTAACCTAACCTAACCTAACACTAACGTAGCCCAACCTAACACTAACCTAACCCAACCTAAACCTAACCCAACCCAACCTAACACTAACGTAGTCAAACCTAACACTAACCTAACCCAACCTAACACTAACGTAACCTAACCTAAACCTAACCTAACCCAACCTAACACTAACATAGCCCAACCTAACACTAACGTAACCCAACCTAAACCTAACCTAACCCAACCTAACACTAACATAGCCCAACCTAACACTAACGTAACCCAACCTAAACCCAACCTAACCCAATCTAACACCAACATATCCCAACCCAACACTAACGTAACCTAACCTAAACCCAACCTAACCCAACCTAACACCAACATATCCCAACCTAACACTAACGTAACAAACCCAAACCCAACCTAACCCAACCTAACCCAACCTAACCCAACCCAACACAACGTAACCCAACCTAAACCCAACTCTAAACCTAACCTAACCTAACCTAACCTAACCCAACCAACCTAACACCAACATATCCCAACCTAACACTAACGTAACCCAACCTAACCTAACCTAACCTAACCCAACCTAACACCAACATATCCTAACCATCAACACCAACGTAACCCAACCTAACCCAACCCAACCCAACCTAACCTAACCCAACCCAACACCAACATATCCCAACCCAACACCAACATATCCCAACCTAACACTAACGTAACCCAACCAACTAACCTAACCTAACTAACCTAACTCCAACCCAACCTAACACCAACATATCCCAACCTAACACTAACGTAACCCAACCTAACCTAAACCTAACCTAACCTCTTCTCCTCCCCAGACCGGCGCGCGCTACAAGATGTGAGTCATATGGTGAAGGAGGCCAACTCGAAGCTCTCCGCCCTACAGCAGGAGCTTCAGGAACTCGACTCACAGATCCTCCTGACGCAGGGACAAGGGGGCTCCTCTCTCGACTCCTCCTATAGTAACAATTTAGGTAAGTCACTTCTGCTGGGGTGGGTGGGTGAGTGGGGTGGGTCGGTGGGGTGGGTAGGTGGGTGGGTCATAGGTCCTAAGGGTGTCCTACAGGTCTTAAGGGTGTCCTACAGGTCTTAAGGGGTGTCCTCCAGGTCCCATGTCCCACAGGTCCCTAAGGGTGTCCTACAGGTCTTAAGGGTGTCCTACAGGTCTTAAGGTGTCCTACAGGTCCTAAGGGTGTCCTACAGGTCTTAAGGGTGTCCCACAGGTCTTAAGGGTGTCCCACACGTCTTACATGGGTGTCCCACAGGTCTCAAGGGTGTCATACAGGTCTTATGGGTGTCCCACAGGTCTCAATGGGGTGTCCCACAGGTCTTATGGTGTCCCACAGGTCTTAAGGGTGTCCCACAGGTCTTAAGGGTGTCCCACAGGTCTTAAGGTGTCCCACACGTCTTAAGGGTGTCCCACAGGTCCTAAGGGTGTCCTACAGGTCTTAAGGGTGTCCCACAGGTCCCATGGTGTCCTACAGGTCCTAAGGGTGTCCCACAGGTCCAATGGTGTCCCACACGTCTTGCGGGTGTCCCACAGGTCCCAATGGTGTCCCACAGGTCTCAAGGGTGTCCTCACAGGTCCCAAGGGTGTCCCACAGGTCCCAAGGGTGTCCTCAGGTCCTAAGGGTGTCCCACAGTCCCTAAGGGTGTCCCACAGGTCCTAAGGGTGTCCCACACGTCTTAAGGGTGTCCCACAGTCCCAAGGGTGTCCCACAGGTCTCAAGGGTGTCCTACAGGTCCCAAGGGTGTCCCACAGGTCTTAAGGGTGTCCTACAGGTCCAAGGGTGTCCCACAGGTCTTACAGGGTGTCCCACAGGTCCTAAGGGGTGTCCCACAGGTCCTAAGGGTGTCCCACAGGTCCCAAGGGTGTCCCACAGGTCCTAAGGGTGTCCCACAGGTCCTAAGGGTGTCCTACAGGTCCCAAGGGTGTCCTACCAGGTCCCTGGGGTGTCCTACAGGTCCTAAGGGTGTCCCACAGGTCTCAGGGGTGTCCCACAGGTCCCATGGGTGTCCCACAGGTCCCAAGGGTGTCCCACAGGTCCTAGGGTGTCCTACAGGTCTTAATGGGTGTCCCACAGGTCCTAAGGGTGTCCCACAGGTCCCATGGTGTCCCACAGGTCCAAGGTGTCCTACACGTCTTAAGGGTGTCCTACAGGTCCCAAGGGTGTCCCACAGGTCCTAAGGGTGTCCCACAGGTCCTGGGTGGTCCCACAGGTCCTAAGGGGTGTCCTACAGGTCTTATGGTGTCCTACAGGTCTTATGGTGTCCAGGTCCTATGTGTCCTACAGGTCCCATGGTGTCCCACAGGTCTTAAGGGTGTCCTACAGGTCCTAAGGGTGTCCTACAGGTCTTAAGGGTGTCCCACAGGTCCCAAGGTGTCCTACAGGTCTTAAGGGTGTCCTACAGGTCTTAAGGTGTCCTACAGGTCTTATGGTGTCCCCACAGGTCTTAAGGGTGTCCCACAGGTCCTAAGGGTGTCCTACAGGTCCCAAGGGTGTCCCACAGGTCCTAAGGGGTGTCCTACAGGTCTTAAGGGTGTCCTACAGGTCCTAAGGTATCTCACAGTCTTAGTGTCCCACAGGTCTAAGGGTGTCCCACAGGTCCCAAGGTGTCCTACAGGTCTAAGGGTGTCCTACAGGTCTTAAGGGTGTCCACAGGTCCTATGGTGTCCCACAGGTCTTAAGGGTGTCCCACAGGTCTTAAGGGTGTCCTACAGGTCCCATGGTGTCCTACACGTCTTGAGGGTGTCCCACAGGTCTTAAGGGTGTCCCAGGTCCCATGGTGTCTCACACGCCTAAGGGTGTCCACAGGTCTTATGGGTGTCCTACAGGTCCTAAGGGTGTCCTACAGGTCTTAAGGGTGTCCTACAGGTCTTAAGGGTGTCCTAACAGGTCCTAAGGGTGTCCTACAGGTCTTAAGGGGTCCCACAGGTCTTAAGGGTGTCCTACAGGTCTTAAGGGTGTCCCACAGGTCTTGGGGGTGTCCTACAGGTCCCATGTAAGTGTCCTACAGGTCTTGGGGTCCTACAGGTCTTAAGGGTGTCCCACAGGTCCATGTCACAGTCTTAAGGGTGTCCTACAGGTCTTAAGGTGTCCTACAGGTCCTAAGGGTGTCCCACAGGTCTTAGGGTGTCCTACAGGTCTTGGGGGTGTCCCACAGGTCTTAAGGGTGTCCTACAGGTCTTGCGGGTGTCCTACAGGTCCTAAGGGTGTCCCACAGGTCTTAAGGTGTCCTACATTTCATGGTGTCTTACAGGTCTTAAGGTGTCCTACACAGGTCTTAAGGTGTCCTACAGGTCTTAGGGGTGTCCTACAGGTCCTAAGGGTGTCCTAGTCCCAAGGGGGTCCTACAGGTCTCAAGGGTGTCCTGGTCTTAAGGGGTGTCCTACAGGTCCTAGGGTGTCCACAGGTCTAAGGGTGTCCTAGGTCTATGGTGTCCTACAGGTCCTAAGGGTGTCCCACAGGTCTTAAGGGTGTCCCACAGGTCTTATGGGTGTCCTACAGGTCCCAAGGTGTCCTACAGTTCTTATGGGTGTCCTACAGGTCCTAAGGGTGTCCTACAGGTCTTATGGGGTCCTACAGGTCCTATGGGTGTCCTACAGGTCCTATGGTGTCCCACAGTCCTAAGGGTGTCCTACAGGTCCCAAGGGTGTCCCACAGGTCTTAAGGGTGTCCTACAGGTCCTAAGGGTGTCCTACAGGTCTTAAGGGTGTCCTACAGGTCTATGGGTGTCCTACAGGTCTTAAGGGTGTCCCACAGGTCCTAAGTGTCCTACAGGTCTTATGGTGTCCCACAGGTCCCAAGGTGTCCTGCAGTTCTTGGGGTGTCCTACAGGTCCTAAGGGTGTCCTACAGGTCTTAAGGGTGTCCTACAGTCCCATGGTGTCCTACAGGTCTTATGGGTGTCCTACAGGTCCTAGCGGTGTCCCACAGGTCTTAAGGGTGTCCTACAGGTCTATGGGTGTCCTACAGGTCCTAAGGGTGTCCCACAGGTCTTATGGTGTCCCACAGGTCCCATGGGTGTCCCACAGGTCTATGGGTGTCCTACAGGTCCTAAGGGTGTCCTACAGTCATGGGTGTCCACAGGTCCTCACAGGTCCTAGGGTGTCCTACAGGTCTTATGGTGTCCCAGGTCCATGGTGTCCTACAGGTCCCAAGGGTGTCCCACAGGTCTAAGGGTGTCCCACAGGTCTTAGGGGGTGTCCTACAGGTCTCAAGGGTGTCCCACAGGTCTTAAGGGTGTCCCACAGGTCCTAATGGGTGTCCCACAGGTCTAAGGGTGTCCTACAGGTCCTGGGTGTCCTACAGGTCTTCAGGGTGTCCCACAGGTCCCATGTCCCACAGGTCCCATGGTGTCCCACAGGTCCTAAGGGTGTCCCACAGGTCTTAAGGTGTCCCACAGGTCCTAAGGGTGTCCCACAGGTCTAAGGGTGTCCTACAGGTCCCAAGGGTGTCCCACAGGTCTTAGGGTCCCCACAGGTCCATGGTGTCCCACAGGTCCTAAGGGTGTCCCACAGGTCCCAAGGGTGTCCCACAGGTCTAAGGGTGTCCCACAGGTCCCAAGGGTGTCCTACAGGTCTTAAGGGTGTCCCACAGGTCCTAAGGGTGTCCTACAGGTCCTATGGGTGTCCTACAGGTCTCAAGGGTGTCCTACAGGTCCTAATGGTGTCCTACAGGTCTTATGGGTGTCCTACAGGTCTTAAGTGTCTCATAGGTATGGTGTCCTGCAGGTCCTGGAGGGTGTCTCACAGGTCTATGGGTGTCCCACAGGTCCTAAGGGTGTCCTACAGGTCTTAAGGGTGTCCCACAGGTCTTAAGGTGTCCCACAGGTCTTATGGGTGTCCCACAGGTCCCAAGGGTGTCCCACAGGTCTTATGGTGTCCTACAGGTCCTAAGGGTGTCCTACAGGTCCATTTCATGACAGATGGTCCTTAGGGGTCCTCTTTATGGTGTTGGATGGCACTATACGCGTCCCAAGGTACCTGTGCCCCTCAACAAGGTGGAGGGGTGGGTGTGGGGAGGGTGTGGGTGCGTAATGGGGTGGGGTGAAGTGTGGGGGTGTATGGGGTGTGTGGGTGGATATGTGTGTTTTTAGGGTGTGGGAGAGAGAGAGAGAGAAAGAGAGACACTACTCTTCTCTCCTTCGCCAGAGTGGGCAAACAACAGCGCCTGACCCACCCTTCTACTCCTATAATATGGCTACAGGTCGTACGCCAGACGAACTTTCTCGCTATTACCACCACTGGCACCTGGAAGAAAGTCCCCGGGGCCTGGGCGAAGATCTTGGGGGGGCGGTAGAGTGTGGTCGGTGGTGGTCGGGTTGTGTGGTAGGAGGTGGTCGGTGGTGTGTGTAGGAGGTGGTCGGTGGTGTGGTAGAGTGGTCGGTGTGGTGTGGTAGGAGTGTGGTCGGTGGGTGTGGGTAGGAGGTGGTTGGTGGTGGTAGGAGGGTCGGTGGGTGTGGTAGGAATGTGGTTTGTGGTGTGGTAGGAGGGTTTGGTGTTGTGTGGTAGGAGGTGGTCGGTGTGGTGGTAGGAGGTGGTCGGTGTGGTGTGGTCGGTGTTGTGTGGTGGGAGTGTGGTCGGTGTGGTGGTAGGAGGTGGTTGTGTGGTGTGGTCGGTGTGGGTGGTGAGTGTGGTCGGTGGGTGTGGTGGAGGATGTGGTCGGTGTGGTGTGGTAGGATGGTTGGTGGTGGTGTGGGAGGTGGTCGGGGGGTGTGGTCGGGTGGTGGTAGGAGTGTGGTCGGTGGTGGTAGGAGGTGGTCTGTGGTGTGTCGGTGGTGGTAGAGTGGTCGGGGTGGGGTGTGGTTGGTGTGGTGTGTGAGGTGGTGGTGGTGGTAGGAGTGGTCGGTGGGGTGGTGAGAGGTCGGTGTGGTGGTCGGTGGTGGTAGGAGTGGTTTGGTGGTGGTAGGTGTGGTCCGGGTGGGAGTGTGGTTTGGTGGGTGTGGAGGAATGTGGTTTGGTGTGGTAGGAG